TATGAGTTCATTCAACCAAGAACTTAGTAAACTTTCGCATTCACTCAGTTCCTCCTTCATCAGAATTTCGCAGACGACAAATACGAGTAAAAAATAAATAAATAAATTGCACATCAGACTCAAGTCAATATATTCAAAAAATCTTTGCAGTTTTCACGATTCACGCTATGAATTGAACGGTATGAAGTATCTTCGACAACTGAACCCTCGTCGCCAGACGCTGTGAAATGTAATCATGACCTCGTTTCGTTCAAAACTCAGTCAATGTACGATACTCGATAATGTTACATTATTTCTATAGCATATCCTGGACAAACACTCTTTACAAATTTGTTCTATGATTTTTTTAATTACGGTTTTTTCTCTATAGATCAGTGTTCCCCATGCTGTGGTCTGAGGATTGGCGCTGGTCTGCAGAAGTTTTTGGTCAGTCACCAGAAATTGTAAATGTATAATAATAAATTTATCAAAAATCCGGATGACGTCTGTTATCTTTCCCTAATTTGAAAGGACAATGGCACTTGAACTATCTGATGTAAATAAAAGTTGACTTTTCTCTTCACTTGAGACAAATTTTCACCTGTGCTGAAATGAAATTATTTTAATATTTAATTCTGAAAAACCTTTCTCTGACTCCACTTTTCTAATTTTTTGGTGATATTCTTTACTGTATTTTCGTTTTAGTAAATACCTGCTCAATAATATTCAACCAAAACTTTGGTGAGCCTGCAAAAGTTTCACGAGACTGCCAGTCTGCAGAATTTTTTGTTGTTGGAAGTAATCTGTGATTTTCTTGTGAGAAAAATTTCCCCCTGCTTTTACCAGTGAATACATATTTAGAAATGCTGTTTTTAAAACAGAGTAGAAAATTTGAAAGCAAAATTGAGGAAGTTTCACCAAAAAAGGTGAGTGAATTTTTCGAAAGGAACTATTGCGAGGGAACATTATTTGAACCTAATTTAGTAGACAGGTCATGAGATTTTACGTAATTACGAAAAAAAAACTTTCGAAAACACCTTTTTTGACGCCTCAACCAATAATTGATTGACTTGAACGCTGTTTATGAGAAATGTATATTGTCATTGTCTGATCAGATGTCTTTGTTTATTAAAAATCAGTCAAAACTTAAAAACAGAGATGCTTGTCGTTGAAACATGTCTCCAGAGTCGCAATTTTTTTTTTTCACGGAAGGATTGCTTCGTATAATTATTCCAATTGCACGAATTGAAAAATAGGCCCTGGAAAAGGGGAAAATAGTGAATTTCTGAAGAACTTATGAAAATTCTCTGTGTGTTTTTCGTTGTGCAAACTCATTCATTTTCCCACAGAAGGAAGGATGTTTCAGTCAAAAACACTACGTCATTATCTGATCAGCAGATGGCTTCGTTTTTAAGACGGATCTGTCAAACAGGGTTTTTGTTTTGTTTATACCCGTTTGTGACAGTGCGTATATATAGCGTTCTTTCGTTCAAAAGTCTCAATTTATTTCATCAGATAATTATAGGATGCAATTCCTTCACTGGAAGACAGGGAAAAATCAGAAGAACCGGACTGTAATCCAAGATCTGATATCACACTACTGGTATTGGCTCGTTTCCCCAGGTTTGAACGTCCTTGAATCCGCTTTTCTGTCCACAGCGCATCCGCCTTTTGCTGCAAAAAAAAATAAACAAGGGCTATCATTTTTCTCCTAGCTTCAGTGGAAATATTCTTTGCATATTGGAAACTGAATTATCAAAGCTAATAGCCTTTGTCCTTCTGCAGATTAGCAAGTACAGTGCAGGTGGTACCTCAAAATTTGACCCTAATTCATTGCTGAACTGGGGTTGAATTGCAAATCAGTTGAATTGCAAGACACTCCCTGAAATTCAAAAATTTAGGTACAAAAATGCAAAAAAATGGCCAAAGTGGGTCAAATTGCAGGACAAGGGCTTAATTGCAAGTCAACCTCCCTGCAAATTTGACTGTAAAAGTGCAGGATTTTCAAATTGCAGGATGGTCAAATTTCTGGAGGTCTAATTGCAAGGTACCTTCTGTACTACAGCACAATCTTGTTACAATTGAGCCATTGGGACCAGCTGTAAACAAATAGCTTAGCAGTAAAAAAAATGTTTAAAAACACTGTTTTATCATCACAGTGGGCGGTGACCTGAAGACAAATTTGTTTTAATCAAATATTTGTCATAACAAGATTCTACTATACTGACTCAACATAACTTATCTAGAAGGGGTCTAACAAAAGTTCTCAGAATAACAATTAAAATGGCATATAATTGAGCTGGAAAAATTTCGTTCTTCTGGGAAAACATATGCTTTGGCACAAGAAAAAATCAGTCCTGTTTGGCAAATTTTTTTGAATGTTTTGCAAAATTCACTCTGGCAGAGCGTGGCTCTCCATTCAAAAGATGAGGTGCCTTTTGTGCAGATTTTGTTGCTGTATAGCCCAGCTCTTCCCTCAGATTTCTTGAAATCAATGTGGCATTAATTCCAAGGGTTGTCTCCATGCAGGTCTTCCAAGGTAATTCTGCCATTTTCAACAACAGCCACCTTCACAGCTGCCAATGTGGCGGCTGTACAGGCGGCTATTGATAAAAATGGCGAAATTACCTCGGAATTAACAAAAAAAGATGTTTACCCTGAAGAATAAATTTTTTTCAGCTCAATTAGATGCCATTTTAATTTATATTCTAAGAACTTTTATTAGAACCCTGGTATTGTTCAGTACAGTATTAAAAAAATTTTTTTAATATACCATGAGCAAGGATTGATCAGCGTCGGTTGCCATGTGACGGGCCTCTGACAAGGGATCTTCTGACACGTGTTTGCATCTGGGACAAAAATAAAAGGATCTTTTCTGCGATACTCTCCATCTGAGCCAACGGAGCAACACGAAAATGATTCCGAAAGGAAAGCAAATGCATGAAAAAATTTTGCATTTGGTTGACAACGGTCTCAAGGTTTTGAGCTGCATTGGTGTCACCTTCAATGAAAAAAAAAGAGTTTTTGAGTCAAGCAATGAAAGTAATTCACTTTAAACTCTATATAATGTTTGTTAATTAATTAACCCCAACAAAAACTTGACGACTCAAGCGACTCTTTTGAGATTCAAAATCGAAATTACAGACTTAGAGAAAGGCGTTTACTAACGCTTTAAAAAGAGGTGATTAAAAAAACAATATTCGAGCAAAGAAATTCTTTTTTTGAGATTTTCAATTTATTCCCAGCTGATCCTTGGTCTAAAAAATAACATAAGGAAAAGTCTGACTTTGCAAAGGTGGCTTGGCCAAATTATTCAGTCACTCCTTTTTGATAGGCATCAATAAGTTGCATTTTTAAGAACTCCTGAAAAATAAGTGCAAAATTAGCCTGTTTTGATAAGGAATTTGAGTAAAATAATAATTTAAATTTTATTTGTTCAAGTCATATTCAACTTATGAAAAATAAAAATTTTCCATTCGTCGTGATTAAAACGTTGGAAAATTTTGAACATTTCGAGACATATATAGTCCATCAGAAGCCCGCGGGCAGATTTCTTTTTGCACTCGGAATGTCCTTGAGTGGAATAGTATAATACAGATGCCGGGGTCATCCCACTAAATTTCTCCGTCGCAAAATGAATAAGATCTATAAACAAGTTTGCAAAAAATCCCATGTTTTTCGCCTCGTTAAACAGGAACCCGGAAATGAATTCCCTAATTATCCCTGGAAATTGCACTCACCCCGCAAGCAGGGCACGCATATCCCCATTTGTCGGGATTGATGGAAGGTCTGAACCCTTGCAACCCTTGCTTGACTGGCACAGACTTGGTCCTATCATCTCGAACATAGGCTTTCTTCGGTTCCAACACATACCGTTTCACTTCCGTCAATTTGCGTTGTTTGGCACTTTCGGCTGTTTCTCTCTGGAAAACCTTTGCAGAAGCCATGAAATTATGGCGACCTCTGGAGGATAAAGGTGGCGGATAAGGCTGATGTTGTTGAGGACACCAACCTTGACAAGGTTGTTATTCGCGAAGAATTTTGAAGAACGTAGGAAATGCATCTTTCCTCAGGATAATTATGAATATTGCAGACAGTTTTGATTCATTCGCTATCACTCAGTTATCCTGGATTGAAAGGAAATTCAGGTCACGTATAATGTATACTGAAGGAAACATTCAAAAATGAAATCTGAATGAATTCCAGTATCATTTAACACATTTCAGCATTCAAGAAAATTATTTTTTGCTCTGGAAATGAGACTTCCATTCATGCTAAATAAATATACGGCGAGAAATATTTTGAAGCTAATGATAATTTATTTTCGCAGAGGCTTGGAATAATGCGTATTTCTTTGATTGAAATATATGGAGAATATTCGACGTGATTTTTGTTACGAAAGGCATCGAAGCCAAGATTTGAAATGAGCATTAAATACTTGGATAAGATGCCTGAAGACTTTCGGACAAAATTGTATCCATTAATAATTAAACGTGATTGAAGTCTATATTAACAGCTATTCGCTTTGAGCAATTTTTGGATGAAGTTCAAAAAAGTACGGGAAAATAATGAGCCAAATTCAAACTCAAAGAAAACCAACAAAAAATTACTTTCGAATGAGTTTTCTGATACGATCAAAATAAATGAATTTTACGAAATGTTGCCTTAAGAAACGTACTTCGATATCTGACAAGATGAAATAGTAAAACAATAATAAATGAAATAATTGTGAATCAAATCGGCCGCTTTTCCATAATAACCGTTATACATGCAATATATGAGATTCCACAAACTTCAAAACCGGTTAAATCCAAATAAAAACGACTCTCCCAACATTTTTGGGGCGTGAACTAACCCAAGATTTTGTTATTATTCCGTGAAATCATATGCGGGAAAAAAAGGGTTTCGTTTATTTAATTGGACTAAATCGGATTAAAAATAAGACCAGAGTAACTCCAGATATTCCATATCACATGAACAAAAAAGCTCTAACCATTTTTTTCTCGCATCTATGCTTTCAAAATCTTCAAGTCTACCATGTCTTGAACAACGTCCGAAAAGCGTTTGACAATCCTTCGATTATGAGCAGGTTCCTTGTCTTTGCGTTTCCAAGAGTCGAGATGAACAACTTGACTGGATGAAAACGTGTTTTCAGTCGAACTTGCATTCTTCAAATCTCCGAAATGTTCGTTTGCTGAAGTCGAAGAACCAGTTCTTTGAGGAAGTGTTTTTGCATCCTATGAAATACGGGATTAAAAAACGAATGAAGAATGAGTTGAATGGACGCAAAAAATACTCTATTAATAGTCCGAAATTGCATCCTGTGCTGTCAAAATATTGCGAAATGAATGGCCTGAATTTAATCCACATTCGAAAATAGGTTGATTGAGTTCTACTTATTTCTTGAATATATTATTAGAAACAATTCCACAGGTTTATAGAGCTTATCCTCCATCACAAAAAAACAGGTGAAATTTCAAAAACAAAAACGTTGGACACCTTCAAAAAGTGCATTTAAAAATGATGAAGTCACTAAAAATGAGGATATCTAATTTGGAATAATCAGTGAATAATTCTTCAAGTAGCTGATTGTTTATGGCAGAATCTGTTTGGCATACAACTAA